CCCAGCACAGGTTGGGATGCGTGCAGGAGGCAACTAATTTATGTGTCCCTCTTACATCAATGTTTCTCTCTCTGTCTCTCCCCCACCCTCTGACTCTCTAAATGGAAAAAAGGATTAATGATAGATAGATAGATAGATAGATAGATAGATAGATAGATAGATAGATAGATACATTAATTTGTAGTGTCTGCCACCTTCCATAATGTAAATATTCCCATCATGGCTGATTTCTATTTACCAATGATTTACCTAGAGTTAGTGATTTAGCTCACAAAATCCTAAGTACTGTCTTTAACAATTGCCTCCCAGGAGTTCAGCACACCACTGATTCTCCAGCCTCCTCAGTCTTCTCATCTTGCTATCGTTTTAGTCACTTTGTTGCTTGTTAACATCCCCCTTGCCTGATGGACAGGGAAAATAGAGTGAGTGAACAAAGAAGCAGGTAATTTTTCTATCACTGGTTCTAGCAAAGGAGAATGAGTGGGGAGAAAGTTGAAACCAGTATTAGCTAGATGTTTGTGAGTTTCAATCACCCCATGCTCTCTGCCCCTACTACTGCAGACCACTAAAAGCAGATGCCATAGTCAAATATACAAAACGCAAACACACTTTCTGACCAAATACAGTACTGATGACCACAACCTGGAAAAAGCAAAGAAGAGAAATAAACTACGCTGGAAACCTAAGAAGGGTGAAGTTTATCAAGATGGTAGAGAGCAGGTTAAAATGGGAAACCAAACAACTTCTCTGGGTAGAAATAACATGGAAAATACTTTTCTGAATGTTAAAGATCTAGCAGCCCTCTGGACCAATATCTAAACAGGAAAAACATACCAAACTAACAGAAAACTGTTCAGCAAAATATAAATTTTTTATCTTAACGCGGTTGGAAACTGGGGAACAATTTTCTGGAGTTCTGTGATTAAGTCTCACTCTCTCCATCACCGAAATGGGCTCCTTGGGTGGTATTTATGCGGAGACAGAAGAGGAAGGCAGCTGGCCATATTTCCTTCCCTCTCTCTAGGACTCTGGCTTGCCTTCCCCTCCCTTCTGTTACTAACAGAGGCAGCACCACATGAATAATAGTTCACAAACTGTGTGCCTGATCTCTAGGGCACGTCAGAGTTCCTCTACGTTAAGGAGGTAGTTTCAAGGGAGACGGTCTGTAAAAGCAGTCTTATTTTTATGGCTCACTGAACGTTTACTGACATGAACCCCTCTCTGTGATGACATGTGTCAGATCCGACCTCTTGTTGACAAAGCTCCAGGCGGGGTAGAAAGGAATATCCAGCTTTGCTCCGTAATTTCAGCTTACTTGCTACCCAGGCGCTGGGGACTCCAGGGCTTTTAACTCTTTTCGGTCCAACCTCGAGGCTGACTCGACAGACCAGGTGCTAGGAGCAGGTCCAACGTCGAGCAATAAGAACATTAAAAAGTTCAACATTTAATCCCATCAATTAATTTGGACTAGACTGTTTGAATTCCAAAAATAACATTGGACCACAAAGGGTTAAAGGCTACCGTAGCAACAGCTGTTACTTGACTTTGGTATTATAGTTAAGGAACCTGAACTCAAGCCACGTAGAAAAAAATATGTAAAGATGGGAATAATATGTATATATATATATACATACACACACACACACACACACACACACATATACCTACGTAGGAGTGAAACAGGACTATCACAGAATCATTCTTACATATAGACAAGCAGAAGGAAGGAATGGAGGGCATTTCCATTCCAATCAAATGAACTGCAACTTAAGAAGGAGCCTGACACTAGAGGGGAAAAAATTAAAGCATGCACATAACAAAAGTGTCGTTGGTATTTGGGGCTGGCTACTTGTTTCAAGATCTGAAAAGAATCAAAGAGAGTAGGAGACAGATTTAATCTCAAGGTATCCTAAATCATTCAGTTACCCAACTCAGGGAGAATATAATGACCCTCTTTCACTGAAGTATAATATGGTCAGCAGAGCTGTGTCAGAGGAGCTAAAAGGGCAACTTATTGACACAAAAGGGAGAAAGTGGGGCTGGAATGAACTGTGCCATTATGCCCATGAGCGAGAAAAGAGGTGGGCAGTCACCCGGACATGGCCGTGTGTGAGTCACATCTGGCAGAGGCAGAAATGAGATCATAAAAGAGCAAGGATAGCAGATTGTTAGACGTTAAAACGGCAAATAGGTTACAAACCTTGCGAGTTATAATGAATGCAAAACTCTAATGTGGGTCAAGCCATCATGAAACCCAGCAGAAGCTGATTATTTGAGGCGGGGTGGAGGGGCCAAGAATTGGAATTATCCCGTATAGTATTCCAAAGGCCTGCTAATTTCAGAGGAAGAAAAGTGTGATGTTAAAAGAGCTGTAAGGCTTACCGGGTAGCAAGATAGAATATTGACATTTTAAACAGAGTAGAAGGGTGCAGTTTTTACAAATACCAAACTGTTAAAATATGCGTTCGCTGACTCTGCCACTGATTTGCCGGGTTATGTGTGTGTTCCTGTGTGCATATACATGCGAATTTCCTGACTTCCCTGGGTCGGAGAGACTTCTTCAGGTAAAATGACAAAACTAAAATACGTGGTTGGAAAAGTGGGAGAATACAAGGCTCCTTAGTAAATGAAAGGCCGAGATTGAATGACATCACTTTTTTGCTCCAGAGGCTAGAAAGGACCACTGGGAGACAAGAGCGGCCTGAGCCCAGCTGTTCGATGTAACCACAGCCACTTACCCGCCGCCGCCCTGTGCCTACCCACACCGAGCAGAACGCGAGCAGAACACAGCCTCGTCTCAGGACATTCCATCCCATGGATTATTTGATGACGTCCCTGTCTCTTACCCTCTACCAGGGTACAATTTTCTAAAAGCAGAGAAAATCCTTCCCAAGAAAATAAACACTCCAAAACAACTGTCCCATTCTCTTACCTATTTGGATTACATAATGACTATGAAGTCAAGACTTTTTTACTGACACGCCAGAAAAGAACTTTCAGCTCATAAGCTGAACTGCCTTTTCTCCACAGTCCAAGGCCCTAAAATCAAAGCAAACAAAACAAAACAAAACAAAAAACCAACTCCCTAAAAAGCAGCCCCCAGTGCCCACTTGGATAGAATGAAAAATTCCACTGCCTCAACTCTGCTCCCAATGGAAACTCAGATCAAAGTATTTTAAGTTTGAGGGGACATGTTAAGTCCTGTATCCTATATTCTTCAACAATAACAACAACAATACATATCCTAATGTCCAAAACTGCCCTGCATAGAAAGAGATCCCTGGGTATTTTTCTTGGCTCCATTGAGGGTAATTTAGACAAGTGTACATCTTAACTTTTTTGTTCAATGGGTTATAAAATGGAGTTACCAATAGTTGGTAACTGGCATTATGTACCAGCCACCAAGTAAAGCAGTGAACCCCCTCTCGACCCACCCCTGCACCAGGAGAAAAACCACTGGCCCCAGCCGACTGAAATCCCACAGAGCACACTAATTACGGTACCTATACTTTTCCGGTTGAGGCAGCAATAAAAATGCTGAGGGTTCCTTTTATAGCCTGCTCTTACTTGCTCGTCTGGATCAATGTAGAAATAGCAGCAATTTGCTCTTCGTAATTCCTCTCCAAGAATAAAAAGGGCCAGGATGTTCCTGGAATGCCTCCTCACTCACAAATTAGAAGTGTACCTCCTGTGATCACTGTACTTTGCTCATTCAGTCTATGTGAGGATTAAATGAGATAATGCATGCAAAGTGCTGAGTAAGAGTCTGGCACAGAATAAACTCAATAAATAATGTTAGCAATTGTAAAAAAACTATACATATACATACATACATATATATATATATATATATATATATATATATAGAGAGAGAGAGAGAGAGAGAGAGAGAGAGAGAGAGAGAGAGAGACTGCCCCTAATACTCATCAATGTACTTGAAATAGGGAAGATCGAAATGTAAGGCAACAGTTCCACAGCACACTGAGGTGTCTTTGCTGTCCTCTGGTTTTCTCATAGCTACTTGCTAGCAATAATGCAGAACTTTCCACAGTTCCACAGGTACTCATGTCCCACTACGGCGTCCAACTCTCAATAACTGCAGAGTGTTTGAAACAATGAGAACAGAAGTGCGCAAGATGTTGAACAAATCCCACAAAGCCCTTTGGCACTGGCCGTGTGGAAGTTTTGTCAGAGAAGCCAAATATCCCACACCGAACAACTGTTTTCAGTGGAGAAGAAGAGTAAGGAATGCACAGAACCTGACCATCTTGATGAAAAGGTTAACCCCTGATCATAGGCCAGACCCTAAAAGTATAGGCTCTTTAACTTTTAGTCTACAAATGAATTCTTCCTAAGGACACTTGGCGATCTTTCGTGTTTGGCTCTGCTGTTTGAATACACAGGCACAAAACCATTCCTCAAGAGCTTCATGAAAATATGTAAGCAGGCTTTGCTATAACTTATAAGCACAAATTATATACTTCTGTCTTAGCATAATTCACTTGGGACACACACAATACGCTAGGCTCACCTTCCCAGTGTTACACCATTATACGTAGTTATGCAGGAAAATGTTTTTAAGGTGGCAAATGAATAATGTCCGGACACCAAAAGATGGTACATTTGCAACAGTCATGAGTCTATGTGGCAAAAAATAAATGATGAATGGCCATAAAACTTTATTCTGTATTATGCCTATTCGACCCGTAAGACTAGGCTATATCAGTCCTTGTAGTTTCTAAACCATGTTTTTAGAGATACAAAGGGCATTAGTGTTATGCCTGTTCAACTTGTAAAAGGGCCACTTGGCAAGTCTAGGAGTTTCTAAACCATGCTTTCCAAAACGCAAAGGGCAAATATGACCCATAGCTTCAGAGAAGGGCAAGGAAGGCCTTACTTCTTGCTGACTATCTGGCTTATTCCATTTGACATAAGTTTTTATGGCAACCCTCATGAAAGTATAAGTTTTCTGCGATTCAAAATAATATAAGCGCAACTTGTAAAAGTCAGGGTTTTTTTTTATTTAATACATTCTAATCAAATAGTAACAGCAGTAAATAAACACTTTGAAAAACAGGCAGGTATCCCCTTATATCTGGAAGAAAATTAAGTCAAAGTTTTCTACATGGTAGAAGGGAGACAACTGCTGATGTCTATAGTTAGACAATTCAAGGACAACTTGGAAATTTCTAAAGCCATTTCCAAAAAAATCCATGGCAACAGGTTGGGACACAGATACTTCAAAGGGTAAAATGTCTATATCTACATGGTTTTATTAACCTGGATGGGGTTGCACCTGTATAGCATGACATTCTTGTCTTTAGCCTTAATGGAAAAGATGAAGTCTTTTCCGTTTGCACCAGTTTGAAATATTTCTGAAGTAAGGCTCTCTTAAAATGGATTACTACAGTACGCGTTCACATGAAAGAGTTCATACATGTAGTAAAAAGACAAATACAGGATTTCATGGTCATTTTTTTTTTTTTGGTTGACTTGGTTAATTGCATAAAATGAAGGATAAATACTCACAAGCATATCTGATCAACAAAACCCCTAGGAACATCAGAATGCAAAATATAACATGTCCAAAATAGAATCGGATCACCAGGCATATAAAGTGGAAGCTAAGCCTGTCAGGTTCCTTCCCCTTCTTCAGTTCTCCGCCATGGAGTCCTTTCTCCCTTTCTCTACTACTGGTGCCTGGACCTCCAACCAAAGAGAAAGGAACCTCAGAAAGGCAAGGCATTCTGATCAAAAGCTTACTTCGGCCTTTACTTGGGACATTTAATTTTTAACTTAAAAGGATCAGCTGGTCTTAGGCTTAGGCAGGGAAGCATTTCTCAGGTGAACATGTGAGGGAACTTGACCTAGCTACCTAGCCACACATGTAGGTTAGACTGAGCCGGCTGTTCTCAGACTTCCGGGTAGTTATCCAGAGCAGTCACTCAGGTTTTGGTTCTCTTTACATAGCTGCGTTCGGAGATACTCTACATGAGGCATGTTTAGAAAAAGAGAAACACTTATACCTGGAATTTATATTCTTCCAAGTAATCTTTTAGTCTTGTTGGCAAAGGCAGTCCCCAGATGGCACCGGTGCATTTGTTAATGGTGAGTCTGCAGAGATGCTGCAGAGGCGGTGCTGACGTGTAGAGCGGTTTGGTCAGATAAAGGTGAACAGTGCCGTTCCGGGGGGCTTCTGGGCCCGTCCGCTTATCCTTGCACATCTGAACATAGTAGTCGATCAGATGAACCACACTGTCAAATTGTTTAAGCTTGGACTTGACACATATGATAGAGTCCAATCTGAATTTCCCATCTTGATATTCGATTCGCAGATTAGTTGGTCCAGCTGATGTTTTAACAGATATTGTTAGTAGGTAGTCTGAATGCGAACTATCTCTAATCAAGAAAGTTCCTTCTGGTGCCTCTTTTAATTTCTCTTTGGCTTCATTAACAGTCATACTTCCCCAGTACCAACCTGGGGTTTTGTTCAAAAAGAAAAAGAAAAGAGGGTAAAATTGTTATTATACTGTTTCAAATGGGGCAAGTACTTGACAACATTTTTTTTTCTAGCTCTAAAAAGAAGTGTGTGAAAGTTTACCAGAGGCTACCATAAATACTTTTGGTAGAAATTTAATGAAAATGTGGGTCCATGTTATTTTATGAACACAAAGTGTGAGCCAGTTTGTTTTTTTAAGTAATCCTCTGGAGCTGTTCTTTAAGTTATCTAGATTTTCTCTGAATGAAACAAAAGAATATTTGCAACATGACACACTGGCTGACAAAGCATGATGCTTCCAGCACCACTCAAGTGAAATAAAAGATTTAAAGTAATTTAGAAATAAATCAGAAGTTAAAAATAAAAGCTCTGCCCTTAAAAAGTGGAAAACTGAACTCTACAAATTCCAAGAGAGAAAAACAGAAGCACCGTTTTTGGATGGTTGGTGTCCCCTGGTCTCCCCAAATCTGTCCATGACCGCATCTCTGTTCCAAGCCCTAGAAAGCACTGCTATTTACTTGTTTTAAAAACTCAGTTCTAGGTACAACAGCTTCTGGTGGCTGCTTCAATTACAACTTCCTTATCAATCATTGAGAAATGAGGGAAACCCCAAATGATAATTAGCATTTCAAGTTTGTAATCTTTTGTACTTTGCCCTAATTCAAACCCAATTCCAACTGTCTGTGGGTCTCCCCAGCAATCCCCATATGATCTGCCTGCACCATCTCCGGGCCAGCTCCGTTTGCAAAAAAATGACTTAGAGGCACTCTGCATTTAAGAAGTTTTAACAATGCTCCCCCCTCAAAAAAATTGCTCGGATTCCCGCATCTGCCGGTCCCTCCAAGCTGATGGGAAAAGCACATGGCCCGCAGGAAAAGAGCACCACCGCGAGTGAGGAGAGTCCCCTCTTCCTAACGCTACCAAAACTTCAACTTTGCCCCAAACGTAAGCTTTTAGGATCCGGAGATGTTGTAAGCCTGAAAGGTTTGCCAGAATTATTTTCCCCCCACTCCTTTCTCCTTCCGGATGCTACAGCGAGCCGCGCACAGCGCAGGACAGGTCTTGAAAGACCCCCCGAAGGCCGCGCTCGGTGACTCCTCGTCCTTGGACTTGGCGGCCAAGATTCCCGGCAGCGGCGGATGCTCCGCCCGGGAGCCGGATGCGGCAGAAGCTGCGGGCAGCGCTGCGCCCACTCGCCGCCCTGCAGCCGCGGGAAGGAAGGCGCCAGGAGCTTTCTCCAGCTCAGGCTCGGTCCGAGTGCCGACCCCAGCCGTGGAGCAGCGCGGCAAACAGTTAAAGGTTCCAGCGCCCTCGGGGGCATTTTCCAAGGAGCCCTTCCCGCGCCCTCCTTCAGGCCCGAGTCTCTCCAGAACCGCTTTCCTTTCGCATTCCCAAGAACCCACCTCTCCGCGGTCCCCTGCTCTGAGGCGGGGACGGGAAAGAGGGGACGTTTCTCCATCTCATTCTTCGCTTTCCCAGCTCGTCCCCACCTCCCAGCTGCGCTCCCCGCCAGCAGAGCCCCCAGCCGTGTCTTTGGGGGGGCGCCCCCTCTCGCACGCGTGGCTGCCGATCGGCTCCCTACCTGTTTGACTGAGCTCCCGCAAGGCCTTCGCCAGACGCGCCGCCTCCGGGGACGGCTCCTCCGCGGACCCCGCGGTCCCCCACTGGCTCCGCGTCCCTTCCGCGCCATTCCCGGAGGGCTCGGCGCACCGCAGGGTCATGGGCAAAGGGTCACCACGGCAAACACAGGTGGCCGCCCGCGCAGGGGTCAGAGAAGGGCACGCGTCCTTCCTGGAAGTCAGTGGGAACCCCAAAACACGTCCCTGCGGAGTATCCAAAATGGTGGTGGAGGGGGAGGGGGTGGGGAGCTGCTGGTTCTTCCTCCCCAGGTCCTGGTGGACAGATGGCAAAGTCCCCCGCAGGCGCGGTCACGCACAGTTTGCCTGCAAAGAGAAAGAGTGGGTTGGGTCAGTCGGACCTGGACCCCTGGCTGGGGTGTGGGTGGGAAGACAGCGACGTGGAAAATCCCGGGGACTCCTCCGCGTCTACGCTCCTGCACCATTTAACCCCAAGCATCCAGGCCCAGCTCGAGAGACAGAAGTATTGAGAGAGCCAGGATCCGAGACGCCAGAGTTGAAGAGGGGGGGGGGGGGGGGGGAGAGACAGGATGAGGGTGGGGAACCGGGTGTCTTCCCGCCCAGGGCAGCTCGCGGAAATCGCAGGCAAGCCCAATGGAAGAGCAAAGAGTCACCTGCAGGCACAGTGGTAAAATGTGCCCGAGTCAAGGGCACGTGGAAAAACTGTTTAAAGGCAAAAACAGGAGAGCTCTCAAAATTGCACTCTATCTCACACTCCGCACAGCCCGGAGAGCCCCAGGAGAAAGTGCGGGCACGAACCCGGTTCCCCGCCCTATGGCGCCGCGGGGCTCCTGGGGTCGGAGCCACCCGCCTGGGGCGCCGAGCGCGCGAGTAGCCGCATCCCCAGCCCGCAGGCGGCCTAGCTCCCCTCCCTCCTCTTCGGGCAAGGGTGGGGGGCGCCGCCCGGGTCGTGGCGGCCGCTCCCCGAGCCCGGCTGCTGCTGCCGATGTAGCCGCCGCGGGCGCTGTCGAGGAATCGACCCGAGCACGCAGCCTCCGCGGGGGTTCGGAGCCCGGGCCCGGGCCCGGGCAGAGCCGGCGGCACCGAGAGCCGCTGGACCTGCAAGGCAACCAAAGCTGAGCCCTTACCTCGGCCTCGGCCGCCGTCTCAGCACCCGGCAGCCTCCCCAGCGGACCTGGGGCAGAGAAGCTGGGAGGGACCCCAGAAAGGAGGGGTATCCGCCGAGTTTTCCCTGTTGACTTTTAATTTGGGAACGAGATGCCTGGGGATGCGACGAGACCTTCAGCGGCGGCCGGAGTTGTCAGCGCCGCGGGCAAACACTAGCTCCGGGGATCATCGCCTGGAACCCACGGGCTCCGACACCCGCTGCTGGGCTCGCACCCCCCTCTCCCTCCCCGGGCAGCTGCAGGGTTTCCCTCCGGCTGCGACCAAGGAGGTGGGAAGGACAGAGGGAGGAGTAAGGAGCCAGGGCGGGAGGCAGGAGGGTGGGGAGGAGCGGGAGATCAGGTTATTAGGATGATTATTAATTTGGATGGCAGTTTAGAAGAAAAAAAAGCTCTTGAGACTTCCCGACGCCGGGAAGGAAACGGAGAAAGCCGGCAGCAGTGCCCGGCAGCGGGGCAGAACCGCGGTTCGGACTCCCTTCCCCAGGCGGCTCTAAACTGCGGAAGCCAAGGCCGCCCGGCGCTCGCGGCGGTGTCCCGGTGCCCTCCCCAGCCACCCCGCTGAAGCGGAGCCTTCAGGCTCCCGGGACCAGTACCTGCCGCCAGCCCCCGCCCGAGCTCCTCCGTTGTCTTGACTGCGGGCACAGAGGATCCTGAGACGCGGCGCCGGGAGCCCGGGTGCGCACTGTCCGCGGCCCGCGCTGCGCCAGTGGCGGCGGGCGAGGAGGCTCATGCTTCAGGGGAAGCCCAAGGCCCGCGAGCCGCGGCGGCGGCGAGACTTGGCAAGAGTTAAACGTCTGTCCCCGGAGCGGCGTGTGCGCGCGACTCCCCAGCCCCACGCACCTCCCGGGCTCCCCACCTCCCGCCTCCGTCCACGCTCCGCGCGCCCCGCCCGCCTGCTGCGGAGGCCGCTTTCCAGGAACTTTCCAGGAATTCGCCCCACGTGACCGCGGCCCCGGCTACAGCTTCAAAAAGGCGAGAGCGCTACTGCGCAGGCTTCAGAGGAGGCGGGCTCTGGGCGCTCGGAAGCGGGGCCGCGCGGTGCGGCTGCCCGGGAACCCGCCCTTCCCTGACCCCCACACTCCGGGTGGTTCGGGGACGCGCAAAACACCCCGGCCACCATCGCCCCCGTTTTGGCGACCAAACCCTGTCCCCCAGCCGTGCCAGGGGTGAGCCGGGGTCGAGCGAATAACAGACATCCTCGCCCCTCGGCGGGGATTTCTCTTTCCTATCCCCTCTGCCCCTTCACGAGACCCTGCAGGACGCGCATTTTGTGAGCAGCGCACCAGAGAGACCAGGGGAGGGGTGTCCCCAAAAAGGCCCCTCCCGGCAAGACTCTTGAATGGGGTGGGGGAGGCCCCTTTCCAGCCCAGCGCCGGGTGCCCACACCCAACAGCCGGAGGGAGCGGGCCGGAGGGAGCGGGCCGGAGGCGGTGCCCTCGGCTCAGGTCCTAGAAGGCATCCAGCGGCTCCTTAGGCGGCGCTGGCGGCTCTCAGTTCCCTCCCCCGGGCGGTCTCTGGCACCTGCCTGGCCGGGTTCCTCCCCTCCAGTCCGCTCCACAGTCTCCTTCTTGCAACCGGGCGGCCCCAGCTCACCTGAGCGGACGGTCCCGGGGGGAGGGGGAGGGGGGGGGGTCTCTTACGCGCGCGCCTGTGTGGTGCTGGGCGATGAGCCTCGGTTCCTGCAGTCCGCAGAGCGCGTGTCTCTGCGATTTCCTGCAGGGCTGGCGCCCAGGGGCCGGGAATTCAGAAAGATCCCGTCACCTTCTCCTACCCGGTTGGAGGTCACCTGGCCTCAGTTGAAACTCATCTCCTTGCCAGCACGCCCGCCGCCGAAATGTGACCTACTTTTTAAAAACCATTAACATTCACGGGAAAACCGGATCCAAAATTTCGATAACCATTTTTCTGTGAAATACCATTCTATTGCATCACTGCTCAAAAGCTTGAAAGGTCAATGGTCACTTTTAGTTGAGGCGGTGGCTATGGGGAAGTTGGGCGAGGAAGAGGGAGGAGGTGTGGGGAGGCGCGGCTCCCAAACCTTGCCTGGTGCTCCCTCTGCCGGCTCTGGGAGGAAGTATAAACCCGCTCCCGCCTTCCCCTCGGGAGTCTGGGCGGGAGTTTTCTCGTTGTTGTTTTGTTGTTGTTGTTGTTGTTGTTTACTGCTTTTGAGTAAATAGCTACGCAAATGATTGGCAGGTGAGCCCGTGAAGGGTGAGGCATTTCCCAGCTAACAAAGGCCTTTCTCCAAGATGGAGTTGTGTGCATGGAATCATGTTTTGGTTTTCTATTTGTCAATTGAAATGAATCTGCCAGCAACCCTTCTTAATGGGCTTTCCTGTTGCCTCTTAACACATGCTTTTCCCTCTTTTGCTGTTCCATCTTCCTGGAGTGCCCTTCCCCCAGACTCATCATTCAGGTCCCAGCTCATCTTCACCTACAGAGAGAGTCATTGTCCACAAAAGTCCCAATAAGCACAATACCAGCTGTAGGAGCACCAAACTGTACCAAAGTAGGATATTTTATTTTTGTTTCTGAAATGTTTCTCAGCACTTTGTTGGCCTCCTAATCTGCCTCTTAGGAAAAATGCTTATGACATCATGTTAAGCAAAAAAAAAAAGGTGAAATTGTATCTATTTCGAGCTTTTACAACATTATAAGATTCTGTTTGCATGTGAGCAAAAACAGAAGGGAATGTGGAGAAATTAAAGCAGCTATTTTTAGGGTGGCAGGATAGGGGTGAATTTTCAAATATGATGTTTCTTAATACTGTTCTAGTGTTTTTTATACAGTCATCATTTCCCCAAAATTGCACACAGGCCAGTGTCTTCGGTTACTCTACGGGAATAGAGTATAGTTTGCAGAGCTTATAACTCCAGTCCTGATGGACCTCTCTCCTGAACTCCGGACCTGCCACTCTCATCACTTCTGAATGTCGAATAGGCATCTCTGGTGTAACATGTCCCCAACTGAGTCCTGATAACCCCATAAAACAACACCCCTTTAAAAAAAACAAAACCCATTCCTCCTTCAATCTTCCACATCTCTGAAAATGTCAGTTCCAGTCTTCAGTTGCTCAGGTCAAAAACCTTAGTCATCCTTGATTGCTCTTCGTCACACACCCCACATCCCACCTGTTACCCAATCTTTTGACTCTTGACTTCACAATAAACCCAGATTTGAAGCACTTGCTACATCACCACCCACCAGTCCAAGCCACCCCATTTCTGCCTGACTTACTGCTGCAGCCTCCCTCCTGGCATCCTTGTTCCCCTTACATCTGTGTACTCCTGACAGAGCAGGAAGAGTGATCCTGTTTAAACTAAGTCATTTCACGTCCCTTCTCTGCTCCAACCCAAATGGCTACATCACATCACATTTTGAAAGACAAAATCCAAAGAACCACTGGAGAATCCTACAAAGATCCGGTCCCATTTGCCTCTGATCTCACCTCTTCCTGCTGTGTTCCTGGATCACTCTGTGCAAGGCACATTGGACTCCTTGCTATTTCTAAAACAGGCTGCTTTTTCTCCGTCCTCAGGGCCTTCATCTATGCTGTTTCCCTACCTATCATGTTCTTCCTGTCAGATATCTGCATGGTTTACTTCCTCAGATTTTTACTGTGTCACCTTCTTCGTGGAACCTTGCCTGGTCACTCTATTCAGAATCGACCCTCCCACAAACACCTGTCTCTCTCCCCTGGTGTAGTTTTCCCCTTAACACTGATCACTATCTAACCTAGTTTATGTTTTATTTATTAGTCTGATTTCCTGTCTTTCTCCCCA